TGACCGCGATGAGATTTCTTTTCTTCAAAAAACTAATGCATAGCTCCTAGTAATTCTGTCGTGAGTTTTTTGATCGTTTCGTTGATATTTTAGATCTCTTTTTCGCTTGTCTTTTTTTGGTTGTTTGTTGTATATTTGGCAGTTAATAGAATTACTCCTTAACCCACTCTGCCGAATCACAATCAATTCGTTATCGATCGTTTTTCTAGAAGGGCGATTAGGATGCGAATCTGTTACAGTTCGACTTCAATCTGAAACGGAATATCACACCCGCTTTGCCAATTACTTCATATATTTTGATGTGATTAGGGGTATATTTGGCTACGTCGCGCAACAGGCGCGGGGAAAAACCTGAATCACACAAATCGATGAAAACTTGATACGGGGGTTATTTGACATCCTGAAATTACGGATATATATTAATGTTTCGCGCAGCTGCTAAGTATTAGGTTGAGTGCATAAGTTCTTGGCCAGTGTTTGACCATTCGTTATTTCGTTGCATGGACTTGTTTGTAATATCGTCATCACGTAGTGCGTGACGTTGGGCACTATTACTTTTTTAATCACACTAAGCTATCCTGTCACCAATCATTTGCAGGCAACAATGATCGCAATTTCCACTGTAACAAATGTACGCTGCGGCACTGCCTTTTTTTTACTCACGACTCACAGAAGAGTTCACTTTGTCAACTCGATGATCACTGAGATGAGAAGTGTGTTTTTCAATAGCCCTGTTAGAGCCGGCAGTGGCGTCGGCAAAGGAGAACAGCCACAAGCCACTCAAGGGCGGACCTTCACACCATAGGAGTTCTCCTGTCAGTTGGTGGTAAAGAAGAGCCAGGGAGTACTGGGAGCTGCGGCGAAGGACAGACCATTTTTCGCTTCCACATATTATTACCCAGCTGCGCAAATTGAAAGTTCATGTCGACTTTACTCGTGGATCGAATGCGGAATATTGCTCTCACACCATGACCAGCCCTGACATCGCTCGTTCTGACTACTGGCTTTCTGCACCTGCAGCGCTCTCTGGACGGAAAAAAGTTCGAAACAATTGATCAGGTCAGAAAGGCACTCGACGACTCCTTTGACTCCCAGCCCCGTCGCTCTGAAGAAGGAATCGACAAGCTGCCTGACAAGGAAAGGATGGTTGGTCAGAGTGGCCATTCGAAATGAGACGTATACTGGCCGATGGGCCCTTGGACGCTGATTACAAATCTACCCTCCATATCTGCTAAACGACTTCCTGGACAAAGTTATGCAGGATTTTTTGACCAGCCACACCCATTTCAAGCATGTATATGAGGTGCTCCAAATTGGGCTGGAATCTGAAATTAGAGGGTGCTTCAGTGCCCTGGAAATCAACACTGCAGTCATATTCGATGAAAACTCTTCGTACGCATTCTGGAGGGGCAGGGTGTTGCAGAACCTGCAACGTCCTTGGCAAGCGCCGAACGAGTGTGATATTCGTGCTCTGGGGCTCAAATTAAGCCCTAGAGACAAGTTTTTTAACCAAATTTGAGAATTTCCTACCTATTTTCGATACTGTGGGTAACCATAGGCAGCCAGATCCTTAAGGTTGCTGGCACTATCGCCGATTCAAATCTCTGTGAGCAGTGGAGGTTCCTCGCTAAATCTTATGCCCTTGTTGGTTTCTGACGGTCCTGATAACAACCACGACATCCACTTTTGGCTTCCATGCCATCTGGAATCAGTTTGGCCTCACAACACCAAGGAACGAATAATGCCGCCGAAACCAACAATCAGGAAGTCCCACTAGGAGTGTTCCAGAATGGCTCTGTCACATCAGAAATAAAATTTTTTGGTAGAATCAGGTCTCCTAGCCTCACAGAAGTTCTTTCCGGATGTGCAGGAGGCATTTTTGAGAAAATGCAAAATGGGGATTCATGGAGGGATTCGAACCTCTTACCTCGCATACTTGCGCGCGGCACACTACCCACTAGGCCACCGATGCACTTCGCGTGACGACTCACGTCTCATTTGTGTTACCATGCTCAATTGTGCTCCGTACAACAACCACCTGCATATCTCTTCTCAGAGAATCGTTTAGCAGATATGGAAAGCAGATTTGAAATCAGCGTCCGAAGACGCATCAGTGTATATGCACCTTGTCTGAAATGGCCACTTCGACCAACCATCCTTTCCTTGTGAGCGCTGGCATCGAGTAGTGGATGGTGATGGTGCATACCTCTAATCTTCAGGTTGGTTCGCTTTTGAGTACGAAAAAAATCGTGGCCAACAACTTATGCACCAACCTAATAGGACACTATGGCCATCTGCGCTCTGCTAAGACTGAGCATGACCTGAGGGAAATCTTCCCTTTTCCTCAGCTTCAGCCTCAGCAGAACGCCAAATAGCATTGGTATGGAGAAATGATGTCACACCCTTTTTGGCGTAGGAATACTTCAGTTGCGCAGTTCTCTTTACTGTCATTTTCTTCGCCCCTTTTGCACTTCCATTTGTACCCTCGTGACAGGGGGGTCGTATTAAGCTCCTAATTCTGATGGGGGGGGGTCGTAATTAGCGGGAAATGATCACGACGCTATGGTGTGCCCTGGCTCCCACTGTTAGTTTAAGGTATTTCTGTGGCTTTGGAGCCGAATTCGCGCCGGATCGCAGAAATTTACAGGCGATTTTATTTAGTTTGCGTTTTCTTAAATTTTTCATTTTTTGTTTCACCTCTACATTCGTTGTTCTTCATTTCTAGCCTTTGTCATCTTCATCACCCTCTATTCGGATTTTGCAGCAAAAGCAACACCTCAAACGTTATTCGCATTAGGAAATTGCGCTTTGCTTGTATTAAACTAAGGAATGGAACGCTTAGGCCGTTTTTATAGCTCTTGAGTTTTAGCCCTCGTCATCATCTTCGGTCCTTATTTTGCAGCACCTAAAATGTTGTCCGCATCAGGAAATTGCGTTTCACTTGTATTCCAAAGGGCAATTACAGGACTTGGCAAAAAGCCAAGGGAGCTGCGCGCGGCACGCGCCGAGTGGAAAAATGCTAGGCGGAGCATGGCCGAATTGGACTTTACCGCGGCCGTGTACTCTATCCCCGTGCAGTTTCGGGCGGGGAAACCACCACACACTGACAGGGGGGGGGGCTGATAGTCACCCTCTGTGTGTGTGAGCGTACCATGTGTCTTTAATATCGGCTCAAGACCTCACCAATAGGCCGTGCAACTTATAGAGTTTGAGGGCTACGGTTTTCAGGTGAGCCAGAAAGGAGCTGTGTCAGACATTCAGCATCCAAAAATCCCTAGTTGTTCCATATGTTTTCACATTAGGTTTTCTCAGTGGCCTAGATTCTCGAGAAGATCACTCACGAATGTTTAGCTTAATGCCACCGAATGCTTCTTGGTAAGATGCTTTCATCCACCCTTTCAGCTTCAACTATTTATTTCTCTACTTGCGCTCAGGACATGACAGTAATCCACATTATCTAATATTAGAGCAGCAGCAGTCAAGGAAAAACAGAATACTATTGAGAAGGAGTCATAATCCATCTTAACAGACGCAACGGAAGCCAGTTTTCTACCCTTTGTTGTGGTCCGTTCAGTTCGTTACTTGAAAGCAATAATCTCAGCTGTCGCTCATGAAAAGTTCAACCGAGGTACTGGTATTCCACTCACAATTTTAGGTTTTTTCTTTACTTATCATCCTTTTTGTCCATGTCGCGCTGTTTTCCTTGCTCATCTTTGAAATGGGTGCTTCTTTCGATCACTGCAACGCTGACTTTAACCATAATCGATACAGTCTCATCGTGTAGAGTGTCGTTTTTCGGAGAAGCGGTTTTCCTTCAGGCCCTGTAAGTTCAGGACGTGTAGCAGTCTCAGGTCTCACTGAGCTCGATACCACCACTTTTGCGATACCGCAGTGATAAGATCACGAATATTGCAAAGACTTGACAAAGCCTCATCGATGCCTGTGTTGACCAGTCTGTTCTGACCCTGTTCTGACTTCTGTCTGTTCGGGCTGACAACGGAGAATGCCCAAAAAACTATTCGTAGCCATCTCACTCCAATACTGCACTTATAGAAGCACCTCGATCTCATTCCCGATTGTTTTCCTTGTTTCCAACCGGCTCTGTGCTCCACTAGCTACTTCCTTAGACGTTGATAGTGGGATATCTTCAGATATTTGAGTTACAAGATGAGACGAAGGTTCTTCCTCAGAAATGGCTGGCCCTCCAACTTTTTTACCGCATGCCTATGAACACAGGAAATACCGGCTCTGTTGTAAAGACAACGACAGAGCGACGTATAAGGGCACACTCCTTACAAAGGACAGTGCACATTCTGGGTTGGTGAACAAGTAAATCCCCCTTTGTACTGAACCACAAACTTCTCTTCTAGTTTTTTTTCCTCAATCTCTCATGCGTCACTGCTAGTTTCGGACATCTTCTGTGGATTTCTCTCATACAATTGCAGTGCGGAACGATGCCGGTTGGATGTTTGCGCGTCCGAAAACTTGCAATTGCGAGCCGACACGCCGGTCCTAAATGTGTTTTCAAACATCTCAACTACTGCCAACAACTGCACATGGAGCCCACATTGATTTCGTTAGAATCGGCTAGATCTTCTACTGCTCTTTTCAACAATTCCAGTAAACAATCGGCTCGCGAGTTCGCATTCCTGTGAAGGACTTCATTCTTCAAGCGGAGCTGCCAGCGCTCACTCAGCATGGTAGTGTCCATTATGGTTCCCTCGATGCCAAAAGATGTACAGCTAGTCACTCTGCCTAAAAAAGCTGAAAATTATCACCGAAATCTAAGGAGAATGATGGGACTAGCCTAGGCAGTTGGTTCGCAAGTATTGCGCCATGTCCGAACTTCAGTTGGAAAGTATTGAGCTGCCCAATAAGAAGGAGTTGCTCCAGATCATTATTAACGCACTCTCGATGGTGAGGCTATAAAATTTTAATGAAATCATGCGCCAAATGGGACTGTCCAAAATTGACAACAAACTCTACCTCGACAAGTTCTTTCACTTTCCTTTCCCAAGTCTCAGTATGTGCCATCGGCAGTAGTGTAGCCTCGCCGTCGACGATGGAAACACTGCCCGGAATCCCTTATGGAAGCACAAAGCCTTATCAGTAACAATGATATTGGGGTTGAATTCAGGCATCAGTTTTTCCACTTCTTCGAATAGATTCTCCACATCCAACGCCGTCATAGTTCCAGATAGCAGAAAGGCTGAAAATCAACTCGGCATTTTATCCCTAACTCTGAGTCCCACCGAAACTAACCTGCGGGACAACAGATTGTCGCTAATTTCAAGCTGTATCGTGTCGTGCCGTGTGTATCATCAGCAAATGCGCCACGAGAGGAATACGCCTTCAGCCATTGTAGTTGTAATGGAGTGATTATCACTAAAACTCGCAAGGAATCGCATTTTCTTCGAATCAAATACAAGCATAATGCCACTCATAATGAATCCCTTTCCACTGCGATCGACGGGCACTTGCAGAGGGCAAATTCCATAATCTAGATTCTGCTCAGCTGCTCGCAGTTGCAGAAAGTGGAGATCGTTTTCGTTGCTAAAGCCAGGTCTGCGTCCATGTTTCGCGATGATGTTCGGTCATTTTTCGTGACGGAGTGCAACCGCGAGCCTTTAGCCGAGAAGTCTTTCCTGTATCGCCAAGTGACATAGTCCAACGAATGCTCTTAATAAAATGTACTTTAGTTGGCGGTTCCTGATAGAGCAGCTATTGCTTTACCTTCCAACATATTCCTGAGAAACCTTTTTTTACGGTCGATGGACGTAAAAGTGCAGGTTCAACCTCGTGACCCACATTGCCAAAGCACGCTTTGACTGTAATAGTGCCATCCTCATTTGAACGAGCTCGCACGTAGCAGGAGCACTGGAGTTGTTCCTTCCTACTATGCGCGGCGCGGGTGTCACTTTTATTTGTGTATTTCTCAGCACGATTACATTTGTAGGAAACACTGTCACAGTACCTACCACAATCGAGTGAGATGAATGCTAACCTATGATACTGGTAATTGCGAGCGTTGGTTTTCTTGTACAGAGAACTGACCCTTTTTTAGCACGTTTCCTTGAGCCACGTTAAAAATTTGCTTCTAATTCTTAGCCTTGCACTGAGGAAAGTTATTCGCAACTGTTCAGACTTCTTAGGGAACATTATGGCCAGCGCTGAGCATAATTAGATAGTGTCAGAAAGCTGTTTCAGCACCTCAAACTCGGCTTCTGAATCGAACGCCAGATCGCACACTGTGTAATCCTGCTCTTAGATGCAAGTACATATTCCATCGGAGCATTCCTCTTTTACATATAACGCAGCGATACACCTCGCGTCCTGACGACATCATCTGCAATACATCTCTGATTCAAACAAGCGGAATATGAATTAGTATTAGCATGGCACTCCTCACCAGAAAATACGGAAATGAGACAGTTTTTGCGGAAACTGCTTGCAAATCAGATTCATCTTGTCCCTTACGGAAGCTCGAGCATTGATAGAGGACCTGTAGCATTTCCACATTCGATAAATCCTACTATAGTATAAGATCTGCACGCTTAGTAAACTTCATCCATCATAAGAATTGCACATGCTGTACCTATCCTACAGCAGTATTGATATGATGCAAGAAAAACACTTTCAATGCTAACTTTCTGTGAAAAAAGAGTCCCGAAATCAAATCGGATTAAGAAAGTTAAAAATCGTGCCTTGGACTCTCGACAGGAATAACCACCTCCGCAATTTGATCTGTAGGACAGCAAGTTTCACATAAAAGGCAAACTTCTATAAACTCCAGAATGCGATGGAGCAGCCAATGTAGAGTAAAGAATGTAAAACTGAAGACGAGGTGATTAAAGTTACCTGGATGTATGCTAAGGAGCTACATTGAACGTCTATGCTTAACAGAAAAACCCGCATGGGTCATCCACTGCGACAATCAGTTTTTCGATCGAATGTGATTCATCTTACAAACCGAAGCAAGTCATTTTCGACTTTCAGAAAGTAATCGTTGATGAAGAATGTCGAGTAGAAAGCAATGAGCAAGCAACAAAGCCAAAATTGCACGGTGCCTTAGCTTATATGCCCCATATTCATGATCGTGGACTCCCATGGAAAGTCCTGGATAGAACCTGCAAGCTGGTTCCACGACTTAAATATCCTCGATTCAAGACCCCTTCCACGGACTGCAGCTGATCACTGGAAGGCTGCACCCCTCATATTCAGCACTACCGGGATCAATAGTGAAGCAACATTCTTCTTCGTATCAACCCTTATCCTTTACTTGAATCAAATAGTGTTCACATGCGCTGAACTTTTCGCTCGGTTAGCTCTTCCGCTTCTCCACGCAGCGTGTGAGCTCATCAGGAAAGGCAAGAATAGAAAGTCTCCTCTATTCAACTAAAATTTCGCTCGTTTGCCTACCCTCTAGATTTTCCTTCCACATTTGTCTTTTGAGAAATCTCGAACGCAGAGATAACTGTAGAATAGAAGCAAGAAGTATGTTGCAAAACTACAGACCTGGCTTCACAGCATCACACCATTCGTTAGCCTCTTCGCTCCCATGGACGTCGTTGACTTCACAATCCACATCGAGCTCATTGCTGATGGCGTCAAAGACCTGAAAGACCAGCTGGCTTTGTTCATCAACTTACTAGACGCGAATATGGAGACCATCATCAACATGCTCAACCATCAACGATACACAAAATCGATCTGATCCTCAAAAGGGCTGGACCCACGTCCAACTGTGTATTCCGTTCCATTGAGGACAACGATGACTCACATCCTACCGGTCGTTGTGCCGTTTCCGGGACGCAATCGCTTGTGCAGTTCAAGCAGCTAACCTCCGTTTGTGCAACGAATGTCTCCAGTCCAGACACACTGATGATTGTGGCATCGACTGTTCGTACTGTAGTCGTGACCAGCGTTCTGCTGTGCCCTCACAAATATTAGAGCGCATAGTTTTGTTTCAAAAGAAGAAAGATGTGAAAAGATTCGCTGAAGTGAAGGTTGCACGGTCGTGAGAATGAACGTTGCAAGCTTTCCCTCCTTTCCCCTCCCCCCGCTTTCCCTTCGTCTAAAGTCGCCCTGTATGACCTATCGTCTCGTTCAGCGTTGTTCGACTGATTCACCTGCTATTCGCTACTCTGCTGTCATCACCCGCTCAGCTCGTACACGACGATATTCGTTGACGATCGCCTATTCATGTGGCATATCTTGCTGCCATCCGCTTCGTTTGGTTCGTTTACGAGGTATTCACCCATCTATCTTCAGTTCGTCATAATCGACCAGTCGTTGTTACATGGTCGTGCGAGGAGTCTGGACAACAAAGAGAGCCATCAAGAATCAGCGGACAAGGATCAGGGTAAATTCAGGTCATTTGGCGGATTGCACTCGTTTCATTTTTGATAGCTCCCTTTTGCTTGCTATGTCATTTCTTACTTGTAGTAGATTACTCATACGGTGAATTTCCCATTTATGTTACTCGTTGTCGTGTCAGAGTGTCGCGAATACTCGCGACCAGGCTTTCGCTTGGTCTCATGCTATATAAGAACTCGTACGTTTCTGCGAACACGTGTTACAATACCTCGTCGTAACACTAACTTGTAGAGCCGAATCCGCGACGGGCGGATTTCGCTGTAGTAAAGCTACATCAAGGTTGTTGTGCTAGTGACAAAGAGAAAACCTTCTAATTGTTGGAACCCTGTACCATGTTTCCTTTCCATTTTATGTTCGACAATTGGACTTTACACTGTCGGTTTTGAAATCGAAGGTACTGCACCTGGGGGGAAGGGGGATGAGGCGTGTTGTTGAGTACGGCGGTGTATGTAAGGCAACTGTAGGGTGATGTAGTACCGGAAGGAGTTCTGTTATCCACTGCCTGGCCGTTGCCTGTGGCGTGACATCGCAAGGGAAAGATGATAGGTCGGAATGGCCTTACAATGAGATGCATACCGACTGAAGTGTCTCTGGAAGGGGATTAGGAAACCGTCTTCCCATATCTGCTGCGGACCTCCTAAAAGAACTTACGAAGCTTTCAGGAAGAGCGCACTCGCACAAAATACGACTTAGCGACGTAGGGCTATCTTGCTCGAAGCAGCGTGGCCGACTGCTTATGTCGCAGGTTTGAATCCTTAGTGCATGCTCTTTTGCAATTCCTCGACAGTGATCTCTCTGCACTCGAAAGCATTTTTGCATAACTTTGGGCTTCATAATGTCGTGACGTAATGTTTCTGAACTAATGGAGCCCTGTGGATGACTCCATGAAAACATTTTTGATATTTGACTTCTTCTTTTATTGCTTTGAGGTGCGTATTTGTCACAGCAAGAATGCACTCCAACGAATAGGTTTGCACCGGAAAATGACTTCATTCTTCAAACGACATGGCGGGAGCCGAAACCGCGCGAAGTTGTGCGCGAAGATTAATATCGCACCTGCTGAAAGTCTTCGGCTTGTGTGAGACCCTCACAACAAAAATGTTCTCCATAGAATCGTTCACAATGGCTCCATTAGTCTGAAAATATTACATCACGACATTATCAAGTACAAGAGTCATACAAAAATATGCAAATATGCCCTCTGGTGCACAGAGACCACTGTCGAAAAAGTGCAAATAGCAAATAGCACACACATAAACGCTTCGAACCCCAAACCACACTATCATGAGCCCTACGCCGTAACCCCTGAGCCACGCTGCTTATAGCGAGATAGCCTTACGCCTCTTATTCGTACTGAATGCGAGCATGTTCTCCCTAAAAGGCTCCATAACTTCTTTCTGGGAGAGTGCTGCAGACATGATAGACACTTTCGAAATCTCATCCAAAGACCGTTCAGCCGGTATACATCTTCAAATGGCCTCTTCGATCCACCATTCTTCCCTTGTCACTCAATTGCCAGGGCTCACGTCTGACGTCCAACAACCCTTCAAACAGAGCTTATCAGTACGGCGTGAAAGCGTTAAGATAGCCCCTCACTTAATTTTATATGCCCTGTCACCTGTCACTAATATCCCTATTAGAAACCTCCATAGTTTGGTGGTGTAAGAACTCCACCACCTTGAAGAGGGACAAGGGCGGTAACGCACCTTATTGGTTCCGCCCAGTTCTTATCAATTTCTGTCACCCGCCATCAATAGAGCCGATGGAGCCTTTATATGCCCTGTTGGAGCCAGTAGTGTCACTGGAACGTAAATTATGAAAAGGGCGACATTCGAGTTCTAAATCCCCTTCAAACTAAGCGAGCGGTTGTCAGGAACATGATACGAAGCACCGCAACTGTTCGCACAGGGAAGGAGGAAATGAAGCAGTCTCTCATGGCACGCGACATTGCTGGACTTATAGGCCCAAGCTTCCCTCACCTCTGCGTGGAAGCAGAACTAAAACGGGCGCTGCAGCCGCCAGAGCCGGCAATCCGCTCACAGGTAGGACTCCCTTCATGGTACCCTTCATCTCCGACGAAGTATGCACTTTCATAATTAAAACTCTGAGAGGTCGAGTCTGCCAAAAACTTTGGCACCGTGAAATTCCTTCAGCTGAAAGCTTCATTTGTGTCGAAACAGTCTGTACGATCGCATACGTGGAATCTCAGATTGCGTAGCCTTCTCAAACAACAGGGAGAGAGACTGCGCGATCGCGGGTGCGGTCTATAAGATCATCTGTCAAACATGTGGTGACGACCACATAAGCGAGACGGTGGGGCTGCTTTATTTGTGGACCAAAGAACACCTCGAAAGGAAACTAGATCGCTGGTGTCTGCTGAACTAGGTTTCCTCAGGGTAGATGCCCATGGCACGGTCGACTTTGGGTTTGGTAGAAGCCTGCAGCGAGAAAATAAAATTTTCGCGCGCAGGGCCCTCGAGGTATTTTGCTTTTAAGTCAGCGATCCGAAAATGAATACGAGGGAGAATGTCTGTCAATTGACGGGAGCTGACCCCGTATAGAAGGCTAGTGATCCCTACGGGACCCTAAATGCGAGTGGTTCGAGAGCTTCCTGTTCTGTGCTATTCGTGCCTGATCTAGTGAATCCGGTAAGGCACGGTAGTTTCCTCTTCTATTCGATACGTGATGGGTAGAGTGGATTGAAGGTCTCCGTAGAGGAGAGGGACATTTGGCTGGATAGTGGTGACGATCGCACCTATTTAAGGATGACTCTCACCTGGGTGCCGGACATCTTCAATTGCTGCGGAGTGACGTTAACGAGATTGGGCTTGAAGGTCATTTTGTAACGTACGTATCTTCATAGCGCACGTAGATAACTCGAAGAATTAAGAAAAAGGTTTGTTTTAATTTCTAGTGAAATGGTCTTTCATAGACAATAAAAAGCAAAGTCAAAAACACAGCCAAACTTGT